TGATTGGCATGTATTACAGAATTTTCGTCAATGCATTTATATTTATTTCGTCCTTGCATTGTTCGGAAGTACTGTCCTTGCATTGCACGGCAAGTACCGTCAAGTAGCTTAAGGTAATTTCGGTTGCCACAGGACAATTAAAATTACCAATTGTAACTCGGAAATATATAAAAGAAGTGTAAACATCATATAAAATTTAATTTGTTGATTTTTGGAATCCGATAGTTTTTACTTATTTATTATTTTTATTTGCGAAAGTAAGTTTCTTACACAAAAATTATTGTAATTTAAATGTCAAAGTGATAGCGCTGGACAATCAAGCAGTTATCAAAAGCAAAAGTTATCAATAGCTAACAGTAAGGAAGCTCATGGAATGTGCTTATGGAAATGAGGTAACAGTCATGTGGGTTAAAGGCCACATCGGTATTGAGCAAAACGAGAAGGCAGATGAACTTGCAAAGCAAGGATCAAGCCATAATTTCTGTGATCCAGAGCCCAGAATACCTTTGGGTTACAACATGACGACAGCCAATGTCTATAAATGGATAACCTCACTTAATCTTAATAGATGGATAGAGTTAAGCACTTGTAGACAGACCAAACTCATGTTACCGATAAAAGTGTTTAGCTATTCGCGAAGAACCCTAAGCTGGCTGACTTCACTAATTACTGGACATGGCAACTTCAATTATCACCTCAAAAAATAACTCTTGCTGAAGAAGACACTTGCAGACTATGCTTAGAAAAAAAGAAGACTGCGGTGCATATATTGTGCCAATGTCCAGCACTGGCAAGTGGGAGGAAGACTGTCTTGGGACACCATTGGGTTGGTGATGACTTGGCAGGAAACCTCAAGCTAAATGAGCTGCTTGCATTAAGAACAGATGTAGTTATGCGAACGGAAGCCATTCCAGCTTTAATTCAATAACGACATCCGAAAATCGAAAGACGAAAAAGGGCTCAAGTCGTTTCGTGGTCAACTTGGACTAGTCCTTCACTTCAGTGGAGCCACTTGTTGGACAGTGCGCTGTTCCAACGTCCCATCATATATATATATAAATGTCAAAGAGCTAGCGGAATGGAAGTGAAAAATGAGTTTTCAGTAGTAAAAATAACATTTCAATTTTCAATAAGATCCTCATCAATTTTAATATAATTATTCTAAAAACTTTTGAAATCATGAAACTATTGGCGTACATAGAATTGTGGCAAAGAAGGGAGGATAAGCAAAGGAGGGAGAGATAGTTATTTTTAATTATATGTTTAATATTTAAAAAATAGTAATGTCTATAGAAAATTTTTCTCCGACAGTTAATACCTCTAAATACACCACAGTATAGAGTTCATTCTTGTCCATATAAAACATTTCTCTACGGCCGTTATTATCTTTGAATTCACCACTGTATAGGATCCATCTTTGAAGTAATTTTTTATAATGTATATAAAACACTTCCCTACTTCACTGTATGAAGCCAATCTTTGTACAAATTTTTAAAGTAGCTATTACTTCTGGATATACCACAGTTTGAAACCTATCATTGTAGTGGTTTTCAGGAATGTCTATAAAATACTTCTCTAAAGTAGTTATTGTTCCACTATATGGAATCCATCGTTATAATGTTTTTTCGTATTCTCAATAAGATACTCCATTACAGTAGCTGTTACCTCTGGATACACAACTGCATAAAACCGATATTTATTCTAATTTTCCATAATTTCTATAAAATACTGCTCCACAGCAGCTTTTTTCTGTAGATATACCACTGTATTGGTGTAGTCCATATTTATAGTAATTTTCCTTAATGTCTACTCCTTTAACACAGCTATTATCCCTTCATTTATTAAAATTTTCCATATATTTAGGTGTGGAATTTTTTTGAGGTAAGAGGAATTTTTTCGTGGTGTGTGGGAACTAGACGTGAAACGAACTAAAATCTATCATACAAGTCGGTTTGTTGTAACAATTTGCTTTGAAATGAACTGCTTTAGCAATACTTTTTTTTTGAGCTACATGAGCATCTGTCTGTGCGAATTGTCTTGACGGATAATGATAGGTTTCTTCACTGTACCGAATCAGTTTTACCCATTTTAGTATCCAATTAGTCTTAGTGGTGTTTAGTAATCAGCAACACTTATGGAGTTATTAGTTTGAAAATAATTAAGTAACAAAATTTCATTAGCATCGTAAAGAATTGACGATAATAACTTTTTACCGATTTTCGAACTTGTAATCGTTTTGAAATCGAAAGTGGGGTTCATACCATTCCTTACCATCTTGTTTTGATTTAATATCATGATACACAAAATCTATTTTTTTTAGTCTTAATTGTAAGATGTTGAAGATATTGCTGACGTAATGGAAATTTGGTTCTATTGTCAGCCGATGTGGTACCCAAAGCTTACTTTTTATAACCATGTAAATAAAATATTACTTATTGTTTCAAAGTAATATTTATACATTTAAATGTTTAGACATTAGACTAAAGATCGCAGTGCATGCACACCCTATCCATAATAACAAAGACTAAAGATCGCAGTGCATGCACACCCTATCCATAATAACAATATTCATTTTACTAAATCTGTCACTTATGATCGACGATCTTCCGTCGATCTTCCGTCATGCTTTTGTAACCGTTTATGACATTAGTACTATTTTAAGATGACCTTAACGAGGATCCTTTTCAATTCAATAACAAAGGACTTTGTTACAAACCCTTTTTCCTTCTTACATAATTATAGTTTGCTCATATTAAACAGGAAAGATGATCTTAATGAGGATCCTTTTTATTTTCACGGACGGGAGGGGGTGTGAAGAATCTCACACAAAACAGTCCACTTGTGAACGATTTTTTTTAAAGAAATAAATCCATCTGTCTCACCTATCAATGTTATAAGTATGAAGACGCGTAGCTTATAAGCTCGTTTTACAAGAAATTAAATTATAGATTGGAATAAAAATTTTGTTGTCATCCTAATTATATGGTAAGGATTTAACTTATCGGTTTCATGACTGAAACCTAATGAAACATCCTAATTTTAAATTTTTCGCATGAAAATTAAATGTTTACTATAAACAATTTACTGAGACGTTGATCCAAAATGATTGATAAACAAAGAATAAATTGACGGATCAAAGTGATTAAGCTAAGATCTTGATTCTTATTAAAGATGTGTGGTAATCTAAAATTGTTGGAAAACAAAGAATAAATTAAAAGATCGGAATAAAATTTATTCCATGTTCTTATGAAACATGAACTACGAATATTAAAGTAGATTGTTAGTTTAAGTTGAAACTAATGAATAAATGGCTCTTTGCAGTTTGCTTAAGTAACTTTGTGTGTATAATTCATGAATTTAATTAAATGATTTATAAAAATTCTTATAATTTAAAATCAAAAATTTTTTTTTGCTCAAAATTGTTGATAAAATCAATATCCACTATAATTTTCTTAACTCCAGTTTACTTAAAACATCATTGAAACACTGTAATTAGTGCTTTTTCCTGTACTTGGTTAATGTGGATATGTATACCATCACTTATCCTTAAACCTACATTAAGGTACAGTACATTTTCCAACAACTACATGAAATTTGTAGAGTGGTAGTACATTGTGCACATATTCGCTTACATGCAAGTTTTGACATAAAGCTCACTAATATCAAAGGATCTGATTTTATCCTAATTGGATGTTAAAATTCAATAACAAAGGACTTTGTTACGAAACCTTTTTCCTTCTTACATAATTATAGTTTGCTCATATTAAGCAGGAAAATGTGTTCATTATGTGTTATAAATTTGTCTTCAAGCAGTGCAAATTTAATGATGTTTTACTCAGCAAACTTTGCGTAATTTATTTCATTAATTTCAAAACTTTTCAGGATTTTAGTATGAAAAGTCTATGAAAGTTTCTTAAAATTGACTAAGCAATTGAGTTCATAGATAAGTTTTGCCATTGTTCTTCTAAGATGTGTTTGTGTAAATTTAAGTTATATGAATATTAAAATGATATTTAAATTATTTATTAACAAAATTGAGTTTGGTAGGTGACATATTTGGCATAAAACTGTATTTATGTGTTATCACCTAAAAAGTTTTTTTATTACTTTCTGTGGTATAAATTTTCATAATATAAAATGTAGGTTTTCTTTCAAAAATACATAAACTTTTAAAAATTATTGTCAATCTGTCAACATAAATTACAAATGTGCACAATTGTCCTGTAAAGGATATGCATATGCTTCTATAAAATCGAAGTAAATTTGAGAATAAATATAAATTGTTCAGCATAACTAGTGTTAGATGTGCGGTACGATGTAGGTTGAAAATATACTCTTACAGATGGACCAATATAAAGGACCAATAATAATTTAAGGAACCCTACATCTAAAATAACGGCAAGCAATTCTCCATCTCAGTCCTTTACAACAATGACAAGATCACTCGCATTGACGAGTACTTTTTGACAGTCGCTCGTAGGTACCTCACCCGGCTCCACGACCTCCCTCCTGACGTCTGTATTCCTATAACTCTTCCTTAAGATCTTATTCTAGCCTTACGCTTCAAACCTCCCCAATACCTGTCCCACTACCTCAATGAGTGGGACCGTAACCTCCACACCATTCCTCTATATAACCACGGCTTTCGTGACTCCAGTCACAAAGTTTACCGCTAACCTCACCCCCGCTTATCTGCTCTAACCCCACCCCTTCTTCATAACCCAATTTCCTTAATATACGCCCTTGCTTTCTGGCTTAGATAAATCTAGCTCGTTAGGTACTAAGTCTATTTTTTCTCCTCTCTCCCCTGATTACTAGAATGAAGTTTCCACAATGCTGTGGAAATCTTCGCCATTCATTCCTAAGAGGTGGTTTAGTGGGTTCCAGTCTCACACGGTGACTTTCGATGCTTCCACTTACTGTCAAAAAAAAAAAAATAAATAAATAAATAATGCCAAAAACAATCGCAACAAATAGTTGTCATCGACATTGTCATTCACATTGTCGGTTGAATTTCGATATTCACGTAATAATTCCAAATCACCACATAGAAGAATTTCATCAGCACCAATCACACCGACGAAGATTGGAGCAAGTGCAATTTCTACATCCAGAACTTCATTACTTATTAAGTATAATAGACCTTCATCACAATAAAGAACACCATCTCTACCACCAGTAGTAATTACTAGATCCAGAACTTTATCACCAGTAAAAATACCAATGCAAACAAAAATTTTTGGATCGCTAGGGAAAACTACAAAAACATCCTCCAAATCACCAATAAAAACGGCAATTGATAATTCTATAGTTACATTAACTAAAACTGCTAAAAGTTATATTTCATAGTAAGAAGTACATCTTATATCTGAACTACATCTTATAGCTTTAAATAATTAAAGAATAATTTCATGTTAGGTTAGGTGACACTGACGATTCTAAGCATCCACTACAATCTATTAATCCATTCTGTTACCATATAAAAAATACAGTGGCTTAAATACCAGCTGGAGTTTTTGGTAAAGGTTAAAATTATTTTTAAATAGAAACTAGTAGATACCTCTCTACTGGTTTCTACTTCACTTCAAATCCTTAGATTAATATTATTATGAATGAAAGTGGACAGCGTAGTTGCAATGGTTTATAAAAGCTTATATCCTTGAAGTCATTGGTAGTGTGGTGGCACCAAAAGAGTGATATGCTTTTTTCTGCCGCTTTAATAAATCTTCTTTTGAGCCACCTTGATATGATTATCTCTGTCAAATAGTAATGCAAGCTAAAATTTTAAACGGATTTGTCCTATATGGTTAGAGGAGTATTGTTGATGTTGATTCGGAAAAATTTTGTTTTTTAATACTAAATCTTAATCCAATTTTATTAGATAGATAACCTAATATTGTAACCGTTTCTGCTACATCTGTGTGAGAATGTAACTGCTTTTCGCATAATCTTTGTAAACTAAAAAAAAAATCAGATCACAGCAATATTCCTTCATGTAACGATAATCAAGGTAATAAAAGATGAAGCCTCCACATGATTCTAATAATTGTTAAATGAGCTTACATTAATTTTAAACAATTTGTAGGCTAAATTTGTTGCTATAATATAAGGACCTATAAAAAATAATATTTTTGGTATATATAAAAGACCTTAATTGGTTTTTCCACAAGATGAATACCATGAAATGCTACAAAACGTATGATTTGTATGACTCTGAAATCGCTTCAGGAAAAGGAGTATATAGTATATACCATGAGTCTATGGAACGATACTTGAAAGAATTTTAATTAATATAAATAATTGTGTAGAGATACTGTAGAGTTGAACTAAAGGAATGATATGTTTAAATATATGCTATAATTGCTTCTCAGTAAAATTGAAAAAATTAATTCAAATTGGTATAAACATTCATAAAAAAGAAAAGCTTTTTTCCAGCTATTATAATAAGTCGCCCTGGTAAAGACGTAGTCTTTACCGTAAAACTTAATAAACTTAAATTCAGGTAAGAGACGAATATAATATGATAATCCGTTTCTCATGTTAATTAAAAATGTATTTAAATTATATCAAGGGTTAGTAATTTCATACTAATATCCATATAAAAATATTGAAAATTATAATAAAAACTTAAACTGTATTGAAGGTTAGAAGTCTAAAACTATTCCAAGAATACTCATTGCAAAAATGTTTAAAATAGTTGTAGTTTTCAACAAATCAAAGAAAATGTAACTTAATGAGAATTAAAAATAGTTTCGTTTATATTTAAACGAAAATTACAAATAAATTTTGTTATAATACTTATTCCTGCTGTAACACACGTAAGTTCTAATTAAAATTATTCGTATAATTAATATTAAAATTTCATTGCAACTATTTTAAAAAATATATTTCTTTAAATTAACAAGGAAAGTCTAACTGAATGAGAATTAAAATTACTTTCAATTTTTTTATCACTATGCAAGTGATGTTACTAATATGCTATTGAGCTGCTAAGTGCTTAGAGTTACCGAGGCCATTCTTCTTGTATGAACTTGAATCAATAAAGTTTCAGGTGCAATGATGGATTACAACAGATCACACAATATCTATATGATATTTTTTCTTAAATTGGTGTTATAGATACTTTATAATTATATGAGAATTCTTTATAATTTCGCTACAACAACAAGTTCTGTAGATAAAAGGATTTTTAGTGTATAGAAATTTATTTATATATATTAATTACTTTAATTACTTATACAATTTATATAATATTTATAAATATTATTGTTATAAATATTATTGAGATATCTCTGTTATATATTGTGAACCATTATTACGAGTCATTATTTTAATACAACGGTTATTACTATTTAATTAAATTAAAGACAATTTTAATTCTTGTATTTATAAGAAGAATAAATACGAATTACTATAATAATTATAATTTTCTGTATATTTTTTATCTGTAAAAACCTGGACCTAAAGGATTCCATATAACGCATTTGCTAATATTCTTCTTTTGAAGTTGCATTTGTAATTTGTTCAGAGTGAATATATGGTACGAGTAGAATACCACAACTTGAGCTAATTAACTTAAGTGCTTGGAGATACATTATATTTATTGGATAGAATATGCATTCTAAATGAGGTAATTTATCAGACAAACATGGTTAATTTTTAGTCTCAAGCGCGTTTGGCTGTTAAAGCATTAAAATTTGTTAATTAAGCAGTTTGCACTCCAGCGAAGAGGACAGGATGCATTTTATGCAAAAATATTCTAACTCAAAATGTAGCGTCTGCAAAATTAAAATCAACATATATATATAAATTTATAACAAAACTAATAAATGATGTTGCTATAGAGCAAATGCAATACTTTTCTTTTGATTGCATATAATTTCCATTTGAAGGCAATAAAAGTCAACAAACTGTCACCCATTCGTGATTTATGAAAACTAAATTTAGCAAACGGAAGAGATAAAGTGCAGTGCAGTGTAGGTGCACTAATATCCTTATGAATATTATGCAGCAGAGCATCCTTTAGTGCCATTTGGCCATTATGTTGCTGTTAAAGGATGCAAAGTAGGCGTTATTAGCAACAACTGCTTTAATATTTGATGTCGAAATGATGAAGGCGCACATATTGTGTTGCTTGCCAATGCTCGTGGCAAAGCCATGGGCTCCATGGCATACTCTTGAATGCACATGCAAGTTATTAAATAAAAAAAAAACGAAGCTGTTGGCTACGCTCGTTTGTTGAATTATAATTGTGCAAGTGTTGCCAAGTAACCTTGCACATTGGGAGTGGAAAAAGTGCAGTAGCATTCACAACATACAACGCAAAATGGTAGTTGCTACCGTTTCGAATTGATAGTGAAATAAATGAGCTTGAAAGGTAAAAATTGTATAAAACAAATTGTATACAAAGCTATGGGGGCGAAAAAATGAGGTAGAAGAATTGCACAACCATGACTGCCATTCAGGTGAAATAAATATCTTTCAACTACGGAATATTTATTCTATTTTTGAAAATAAAAATGGAGTATATTTTTGAAAAAAAAAAATGGAGCATATTTTTGAAAGTTTTGCTGGTTTATTTTAGAGAAATTAAGTTAACTTGAAGTAAAAATTTACACAATCAATACGCTAGAAGAAAGCATACTAGTTTTTTTTTTCTTTTTTGTCAAGACGGTGATATTATAAATTCAAAGGGATGTATCTGTCATTTCTTGCTTTGAAAAAGAGAGCACAATTTTTTTTATTTTGTTTTTGGGTTCTTCTTACTGTTTTACACTCATAAATAAAAGTGAATACCGTAAAAATAAGCAACAGAAATTTATTTTTATAGTTCATTCATGCGATTTTTCTTTTGATTTTGCACAACTTTAATATGCATGACGGTGAAAAGGTAAAATCTTTTTTATCCTGCACGAAATCCTTCCTTAAAAACTATATTTGTTGCACTGAGGCATTTGTGTAGGACTCGTGAATTTAGGTTGAAATGATACTAGGGTTGAAAGTTGCTCTATTTAGTAAATAGTCTACGTAACACATATGTTTTTTATTGTTTTTTATGCACTACATACAGTTTCACGTAGTATTTTAAGTAGTCTGTGAGAAATAGGTGAAAACTGATGTAATAGTTATATACAGTCATCTGTGATCACAAATAATAAAACAGAAATAATTTCAATACCAAAAAAAGTGTTCTCAATAAAGTATGCAAAACTGTGACTTGTAGATATAATTTGCACTAAAACCGTTTAGCAAACGGTTAATTTTATGCCTATTCTTCTTTCCCTTTCCTGAAAGAAGCACCACAAAAAAATGTGGTTGAATTAAAATAGCCAGGGTTAAAATTTTTACCCCGACTTAATGTGTTCTAACCGAACGAGCCTACGCTGCACAAAACTTTCGTGCAGCAAAAAATGACCAGATTTTTATTATTTTATTATTATAGATTTTTTTCTTTGAATTTCTCAGAAAATAATAGGCAAAGTGCTTGTCGTGTATTTCAATTAAAATAAGGTTATAAGTCAAATCTAAGTCAAAAAACGAATATATCCAAAAACAACTGATGGTGGGTGTTTGGTGATATTTGAAACAGGTGTATGGATAGATATAAAAAAAATTAATAAAAAGACTAACTAATTATATATAAAAACTTTGTTGTTCTAATTATTTACTGGTTAAAAGTATTTTGTTAAAATTATAAATATATATATATAAATTTATATATACTTAAATTATATATGCTAAAATATAATCACATTTAAAAGATATAGTAATATTTAAAAAAATATAATCATATTTAAAAAAATATAATCACATTTAAAGAAATAGTTGATTGAGTAATCATTGACTTAAAAGCAATGAAAATAAAAAATTAGAGCATAAAAACAGATTATAGAGAGTGGTGGCAAAAAAATGGTTGAGAAAAAAATAATACTCTGGACTGTCGCACTAAGAAAAAAAATGAAGAAGTAATTGAGTTCTAACATTCTTTCACATTAAAACAAGCAAATGTTCAGTTTATATGAGTTTTATATTTTAGTATGTCTTATTCATAGTACTCCAGTGCAACATCGATTATTCTACAGATTTTATATGGATATGTTAATTAAATTAATTAATTTAATAATAATATTAATAATTTTTTTTAATTCGAAAATTTTTCAAAGGTTATTAACATAGAGTTCCTTAAAACCGGTGCTGATCAACTTTAATTTCATTTCCCCATCTGTTGTGTAAAAGCAATCGTATACGGATGTACATCTTCTTGTTTGGTTTTATGTATATACACTAAAAGTACTTCATATCCATTGCACGGAAGTGGGTTAACAGTGTGAACATAAATTTCGATTTCCAATGTCCAAGTAACGCTATTATTTGTAGAACATTTGCATTGCCAGTGTTACTTACGTGACAAGCAAATCCGGGAGGTGTTTTTTATATATTTTATTTGGTTTTACTTCATTTTAATCCTGCTTTAAAGATTTACTAATGTAGTTATAAATCTCTTTTTAATATTTTAATATATAAGATATCATATTTTAGGAAGTTAATTTTAAAAACAAAATTTTTCTTTAAATTAAAATAAAATATATATTAGATAATATTATTCTTCAAAGAATTTTTAAAATATATATTAAATAACATTTTAGCAAAATATATATATAAAATAGAATATATTATGTATACATTTTTGAAATATGGTTTGCATAAAATCAAAAATTTTAAAATAAGAAAATCATGGTATTTAGAATTAATATGTTGTAGCATATATGTACTTTGAAAGATTTTGTATTTAATTTCTATAATGTTAAGTTTACAATTAAAATTATCGAATGCCATAAGCTTCCAATTCGATCAAATCTATTTATGTATAAATTTTCTATGGATTTTTATAAGAGTTACTTATTGCTAAATACGTGATAAAAAATTATAAAGTCGTAAAAAGATCATCGCACACTCATCGTTTTAAGTCGATTAATACCAGTGTATTAAACAGAATATAAACACAATCTTACACCCATTAACACTCTTAAATTCTTATTCGATTGCATATGGGACATTTAAAGCCTTATCTTGAGTACTTTTAGAGTGCTGATTAGTCACCTAACTATCCATTTTGTAATAGTCCACTATATGATATTTTGAGAATATAACAGCATGTTAATTCATACTAAATTAAAAAGTGTGTTCTGGCAATCTTCGTAAATTCCAAAGAAGATTTTTTGGGCCAAGCCATAACAACCTTTGTGTGGAAAGAGAATAAGGTGTATTTTCAATATTTACCGTGGTGCAGGGTGCCAAAGAAGAAGTTATATGAAAAACCACGATGGTATGGTACTATTTGAAAATATTTTTTTAAAATAGTCTAGATTAGACTATTAGATTAGATTAGATTATTAGATAATATAAGATTAGATAATAATATTAATATTTTTAGAAGTCGTAGGTGATAGGAACAAAAATCGTTCCGTTCTTAAAGTAATGATCCGTTTGCTATTATTAATATTCTAACCCAAAGTTAAAAAAATAAATATATAAAAAACATGTTAAAAACATTCTCTAAAGGCAATAAATCTAAATAAAAAATTAAAAATATAGCAATTGCCAAAATAGTAGCAAAAAACATATGTACATATATTTTTTTTAATTGAAACCCAAATTTCAGAATTAAAATGAAAATATTTTAAATAATAATTTATATTTAAAATTCAACACAAATTCACAAGAAACTATCCTATCAAATACTGCCAACTTTTTGAAATTTATAGTTTCGCAAAACAATACAGAAGAAACAGATTTCAATAAAACAAAAACCAGATGTGCCACAATATTGCAGCATCTTAGCATCTCAGCAGTTCCAAAACAAGGCGGCAAAGTATTTACATAAATTAAATGAAACTGGCAGCACTAATCAAACAGAACGAAGAAGCACCAAAACTTAATAAAACAAACAAACAAACAAGCAAAGAAACATGTAATGCACTCCTCACTAACCCTCAAACACACACATGCACATATGCACACATGCATGTAAATAAATATTTATATGCAAATACAGAATAAAGCGTATAATTGAAGTGTTTAATGCATGCGCCAAGCCACATCTGGCGCACAAGTGTGGGACATGTTGTTTTTAAATTAGTAACAACACAAAAGAAACAAAAACAACAACAACAAAAACAAAAACCATGCATTTTAAATTGGATTTTTTTAAAGTAAAAATACTGAAGTGGAAAAAGTAGAAGAGGCAATGTAATAAAATAATGAAGTACAATAATGACCAAAAATTTTACACTTACACACACCCCCACACATACACATAGGTATGAGTAGGTATATTTTAATGCGTTCACACATAATTTAAAAATTTATTATTTATGACAAATGTGTCACATGCAAAGACACGTTTCCTCACTGCACTCCTCCGCTGTGGTACTTACTAAGAAAGTAAAACAAAACAACAAAGAAAAAGAAGAAATCTTAAAAATTTCTTACAGAAAATACAAATGATGAATTTTATATTTTATTTGTTTTTGTTTTTGTTGCTCCCTCCTTTCTCAAGCTATGCCCTTTATTTTTACGTATTTTTGTGACAATTTAACGCAATTAAAAATTAACGCAAGAAAAGTTAATGAGACTGTCACTCTTTTGCTTCTCGATACAGCTGAGTTCAAGGCAGGCATCGTTAAAGCATCGTTCTTTGAGGCTGGCTTTTGCTTTTGTTCTTCTTTCATACAATAAAGATACCCTTACTGACATTTCTTTTGAGCAAACTGCGCGATGTGTTAAAATTGTATGCAATTTATGCATATCAACAACATAACAACAACAATACGTCACAAGTGCACACAACAAGATTGAAACTAATAAGCAACGTCACAAGCAATGTGAATGACAACACAAGCAACGGAAGTAAGCGTGTCAAAATTTCTTTATGCTTCCAACAACAACAACAATAACAGAAAAGCAATAAAAACAACAACAATAATAAAAACTGTTACAATAGCAATGCAGAGTGTAGTATTCTTTTGACAA